TGTTGTCTGACATGAAATACACATTGGACTCCTCCATCAGTTGGTCTCACTGCTCATTTAACTCCTGGCTTCAGTAACAGGCAGACGGTGCTGTTTTATTCAGATAAACATTTCTTTTCAACACACACATCTGAAGAAGTCTGATTCAGTCACTGTCTCTGAAGAAGTCTGATTCAGTCACTGTCTCTGAGGAAGTCTGATTCAGTCACTGTCTCTGAGGAAGTCTGATTCAGTCACTGTCTCTGAAGAAGTCTGATTCAGTCACTGTCTCTGAAGAAGTCTGATTCAGTCACTGTCTCTGAAGAAGTCTGATTCAGTCACTGTCTCTGAGGAAGTCTGATTCAGTCACTGTCTCTGAGGAAGTCTGATTCAGTCACTGTCTCTGAAGAAGTCTGATTCAGTCACTGTCTCTGAGGAAGTCTGATTCAGTCACTGTCTCTGAAGAAGTCTGATTTAGTCACTGTCTCTGAAGAAGTCTGATTCAGTCACTGTCTCTGAAGAAGTCTGATTCAGTCACTGTCTCTGAAGAAGTCTGATTCAGTAACTGTCTCTGAAGAAGTCTGATTCAGTCACTGTCTCTGAGGAAGTCTGATTCAGTCACTGTCTCTGTGGGTTTCTTTGCCAGACTGTCGGATTGCAAAGAAAATGTAAACTTGCGTGGTGATATTGGAAACCCAAGCCAATCAAACCAGTATTCCATCATGTACTGTACACAGCATCACATGAACATTCCCTTTTTCCTGTTGTCCAATGAACTGCAGATTGGTAGTCTGAATAGTGTAAAAATAGCAGGTAGACTTGCTGTTTTCAGAAGATCATCAAATAACTGTAGGACCAGAGGTATTATTTGTTGTAGTGTGCATGAATTCACAATGGAAATACAATGAAATTGAAAATGTATTTAATTATTACTCTCACAATTTCACACATTTTCAACATATATTTCCCCCATTCTATACTTGACAAGCAGTTAGTTCCCTTATTCCACCACTTGGCACTGTGCGTACGCATGGTCATGGCTGTGCGGATATCTTTGCACCCTCTCAAGCAAACGTTCATATTGATATAGCTCACACTTTGCGTGGAAATGATCCCACACATGGTTTACGCACAAATTTGAGGCCCCAGGGCTAATCGTCTTTGGCACCCTTCTCCAACGGAACTGATGCTAAACATGGATCTGCTGAGAATGAATCACACATACTCACATTCACACCTCTGGGGCCTGGAATCTTAATATCCAATCAAACACACCACTTTCTCTCCACAAGATGAGAGTGAGTCTTGATTGAATTAGGATAGATTATTCCCCGCTTTCTCCTCTCTTCCTCCTCTCCTCCTCACCATCTCTCATTTCCCTGGTGTTTGTGAAGACAGGAGAAGAGGAGGAGACTGTGTCACTGAGGGCCGGGAGCAGGTCTTTTGGGGGGCATGTGCTCAAACTAAAAAAGGGCACCCCCGAACCGTGGTCACAAACTCATTGAGTAATTATTACTTTGATGATTTATTTACAGAATAGGAATAGATGGCCACATCTTAATGGCAAATTAAATGCTTAAGTCTTATTCACTTTACTAATAACAAAATTAAACAAATAATAACATATGCAACTCTGAGTAAAGTATTTTGCACAACTTTTTTGAACTGGAATAAATGCTGCACTATTTAACAATGACCAATGCAATTCCAGTCAAAATAGAAGATTATGAGAAATACGGTAGCGTACCATGACTATATCCAACCCAACTCCATTTGTTGCCACTATGTATCCTACCTGGTTGAAACTTTGATCCAGTGGATTAAGTATTGAGGAGCAGGGAGGTTGAAGGTCACTTCAGGGATACAGCTGCTGCTCTACACTATCCCTAAATAAACCAGTAATGAGAGCAAATTAATAGAAGATTGTGAGAAATACTGTAGCCTACAATTACTATACCCTTTATTACGCCCCATAATATCTGGCCCTCTGCCCTCCCTAAGTCATGGCATTGAACGGTTCAGCAGACTTTTAGCCCTCCATAACTGACTACGAGACTATTGCAGCTCTGTGGGTGCAATATTTATTGACAATTTTGATACCTTCTGGAAACAAAGCTCATATTATAAGGAGGATGGGATCCAACCAAATCATTTGGGTTCCTGGATCCTTTCACAGTATTATAAGGCTGCGTTGAGAAAATGACTTATCAATGACCCAAGCCCAGCTCATTTAATCCCTACCATCGTGTCGCTGAGTTCTCATAATGCTTCAGCAAATGTACATTATCCCAGGGGCGTTGGAAGACACATTGTAAAAACATTTTTTAAAGGTGTTTGACCAGATGCAATGCTATTGTAAAGTAAACAAATTGACAACAGACTTTCAGCACGCTTATAGGGAAGGAGATTCAACAAGCACAGCACTTACACAAATGACTGATGATTGGCTGAGATAAATTGATAAGGGTTAGGGTTTAGGTTTAGGGTTAGGGCTGTTTTGTTAGACTTCAGTGCATCTTTAAACATTATCGATCATAGTCTGCTGCTGAAAAAACATATGTGTTATGGCTTTACACCCCCTGCTATATTGTGGATAAAGAGTTACCTGTCTAACAGAACACAGATGGTGTTCTTTAATGGAAGCCTCTCCAACATAATCCAGGTAGAATCAGGAATTCCCCAGGGCAGCTGTCTAGGCCCCTTACTTTTTTCAATATTTACTAACGAGTAAAGCCAGTGTGTCTATGTATGCGGATTACTCAACACTATACACGTCACCTACAACAGCGACTGAAATGACTGCAACACTTGAATGGGTGGCAAGGAAGAAGTTATTCCTAAATATTTCAAAAACTAAAAGCATTGTATTTGGGATAAATCATTCACTAAACCCTAAACCTCAACTAAATCTTGTAATGAATCATTTGGAAATTGAGCAAGTTGATGTTACTAAACTGCTTGGATTAACCCTGGATTGTAAACTGTCATGGTCAAAACATGTTGATACAACAGTAGCTAAGATGGGGAGAACTGTCCATAATAAAGCGCTGCTCTGCCTTCTTAACAGCACTATCAACAAGGCAGGTCTTACAGGTCCTAGTTTCGTCGCACCTGGACTACTGTTCAGTCGTGTGGTCAGGTGCCACAAAGAGGGACTTAGGAAAATTGCAATTGGCTCAGAACAGGGCAGCACGACTGGCCCTTGGCTGTACACAGAGAGCTGACATTAATAATACGCATGTCAATCTCACCTGGCTCAAAGTGGAGGAGAGATTGACTTCATCACTACTTGTATTTGTGAGAGGTATTGACATGTTAAATGCACCAGGCTGTCTGTTTGAACTACTGGCACACAGCTTGGACACCCATGCATACCCCACAAGACATGCCACCAGAGGTCTCTTCACAGTCCCCAAGTCCAGAGCAGACTATGGGAGGCGCACAGTACTACAAAGAGCCATGACTACATGGAACTCTATTCCACATCAAGTAACTCATGCAAGCAGTAACATTTGATTTAAAAAAAAATAGATAAAAATACACCTTATGGAGCAGTGGGGACTGTGAAGAGATACACACACAGGTACAGACACACGCATACGCACACGGGCGCTAGCACACACACACTACACACACGCACACATGGATTTTGTGTTGTAGATATGTGGTAGTAGAGTAGGGGCCTGAGGGCACATGCTTAATGTGTTGTGAAATCTGTTGTGAATGTATTGTAATGTTTTTACAATTGTATAACTGCCTTAATTTTGCTGGACCCCAGGAAGAGTAGCTGCTGCTTTGGCGGCAGCTAATGGGGATCCATAATAAATACAAATACTTTACTATAACCTACCATTCCCTAAATAAGCCAGTAAAGAGAGCATGGTCATCACTGATGATGACAAATAATGTCGTTAGCCAGCAGAATCCTTAGGCAACCATATGCTACAGTTAACAAAATGGCTAGCTAGCTATATTACTAGATTAGTCTGGGGCGGGTGAATTTAACGACGACTTGCAGGCAGTGGGTTCAGAACAGCAACGACCAAAAAAATTATACAAATAAATAAATGACACTTTGGAGACTGGAAGGGCAAATTGGCATGTTCTCTGTACAGGTAGAGACATATCTGTACATGTGCCTGGTCTCACTGAGGGGGAGTAGGAGAGGAGGAGACTGTCTCACGGAGGAGGAGGATGAGGACAGGAAGAGAGAAGGAAGAGAGGAGGAGCCTGTCACTGGAGAGGAGGAAGAGGTGGTAGAGAGGAGGAGAGCCTCTCGCTGTGGAGGAAGAGGGGAGGAGATTGTCTCGCTGAGGAGGAGAGGAGGAAGAGAGGAGACGCTCGAGGAGAAGGAGAGAGTGAAGAGAGAGAAGGAGAGGAGAGGAGAAAAGAGGAGGACGTCTAGAGAAAGAGGAAGGACTGACTACAAGAGAGAAGAGGAGAGAGGACATATTAAAAAAATGATACATCATTGAGCAGTACTTGAGATTAAAAAAATAGATAAACACACCAGAAATGGGATAAAACAGTGGACAACATGGACGCAGCAAAGTAGCTACAAAGACCATGACTACAGGGAAATTCCTAATAACCAAGCAGTACACATGAAATGTAACCTGACTGGTAGTAAAAGAGCAACTAGGGGGAAGAAGGGGAGAAAATAGCCTGACTGAAGGAAGAGTGTAGTACAGAAGCATCCTCTCGAGGGAGAGGGGAGAAATGCTCCTAAGAAAGAAGAAGCTCAGAGAAGAGAGAACAGAAGAAGAGGGGAAAAGGACTGCTACGAGGGGGGAATGCGAGATGGGAACAGCAGTCCAAGAGAGACAATAAACAAGAGGAGGAGAAGGATGTAAGGAGAGACTGTCTCACTGAGGAGACGAGGTGGATGTAACTGAGAAAGACATGTCACAGAGAGAACAAGAGGAAGACAGGAGACTGGAAGAGAGGAGATCTATAGGAGAGATGAATGTCTCACAGATGTAGTTGACAAGCTGCTGCTGTCCAGAGGAAAATAGCTAGACATGGGCATAATAGGATGTAAGCTGTTCACTAGAAGATAGACTAGAAGATATGATGTCCGATAGACAGAACGCATGTCCACCAAAAATAATCATAACATGAGTGGAAAGGATTGTCTGTGTCAGAGTCATGACTTGACAGGCTGTGCCTTAGCAAAGACAGGAGGTTATCATAACATATGGTATTCGATCTAGAGAGATAGGATGTAAAGACAGAAGTGCTTCATGTACAAGAGGATTTGACAGTAAGATGTCTAAGTAGAATCATCTGACCATAGGGTGGCATCACCATTTACTGGAGATCTAAAGACATAGACTAACCATACTGTCACCTTAGACCTACAAGCAGCAGTACTCTACCATTTTAACAATCTTTCTGATTGTCTACTATGTCTGTGAATCTGGAACGAGTACTAAGCTTACTGCTAGCAAGTCTTAGCTGCTCATACTGATTTACTCTATAACGATTACTCTACAATCATACTCATTTTACATCAATGACATATGCTATCACAGTGCTACCAATAACACTCCACTATCTTTACTTACTTTCTATACTCTTAACTCTACTCTACTGTCATACTCTTCTTACTCTACTTACTCTATACTACTCACTCTCTACTTACTACTACTTACTACTACTTTATCTACTCTCTACTCTTACTCTACTCTATCACTCGTACTCTGACCTATCTTTACTCTATACTCTACTCCTTTAACTCTACTCTATACTATCTTCTACTTACTCTATTCTACTCTAACTCTTTACTCCTACCTACTCGTATATTTCTCATCTCTACATACTCTAATCTCTCTCTACTACTCTACCTTCATACTCTACTCTTACTCTATACTTACTCTACTCTACTTTACTCTCTACTACTCTCACTCTTTACTCCTACTTCTACTCACTCACTCTACTACTACTCTTACTCTCTCTTCTACTCTACTCTATACTCTACTCTACTCTCTACTCTACTCTATACTCTACTCTATACTCTTTACTCTCTACTCTATACTCTATACTCTCTACTCTACTCTCTACTCTACTCTTTACTTATACTCTCTACTCTACTCTACTACTCTACTCTATACTCTCTACTCTTACTACTCTACTCTTACTCTACTCTACTCTCTTACTCTCTACTCTTTACTCTCTACTCTACTCTCTACTACTATTACTCTACTACTCTACCTACTACTACTCTATACTCTACCTACTCTACTCTCTACCTCTCTACTCTACTCTATCTCTACTCTACTCTTACTATACTCTAACTCTTACTCTTACTCTCTACTCTACTCTATACTCTACTCCTACTCTTACTCTCTACCTCTATACTCTTACTCTCTACTTTTACTCTATCTACTCTACTACTCTACTCTACTCTACTCTACTCTATCTCTCTCTACTCTACTCCTCTACTCTCTACCTTTACTCTACTACTCTCTACTCCTCTCTATATTACTCTATGCTCTGACTTACTCTCTACTCTATACTCTTTACTCTCTACTCTCTACTCTATACTCTTTACTCTCTTACTCTCTACTCTTTACTCTACTCTATACTATACTCTCTACTCTACTCTCTCCTCTACTCTTTACTATATGCTCTACTCTACTCTATACTCTCTAACTCTCTACTCTCTAATCTACTCTATGCTCTACTCTACTCTCTACCTACTCTCTACTCTACTCTCTACTCTTTACTCTGTATTCTACTCTACTCTCTTTCTCCACTCCGACCAACAGAACGGACAGGCAACAGTTTCCTCTGTTTCCATAGCAACCCCAGTCCAATTACCACCGCTGCACTGCACTGGCTCCACTTTGGCAAGATGGAGACGATTCCCTTCTCTCACTCTTTGTGTGTGTGTGTGTGTGTGTGTTTGTGCGTGTTCCTGCATGCTGATGCGTATGTGTGTGCCTGTGTCTATTTCCGAGCATGGTCATGTACGACTTCCCTGTGTCTCTTTATCCAAACAGCTGTCTGTGATGAGGGGCTTGCTACGCCTCCCGACTAGAAAACCTCCAGCTCTGTGCATCCATGCAGAATAGTACTGATGTAGAGGCTCTCACTCATTCTCCTCCCCTCCCCCTCTTTAAACCCCCCCCCCCCCCCCCCCCCCACACACACACACACACACACACACACACACACACCACCGCAGCCCATGTGATCCCCAGCTGCCACTCTATTGGCTGATACTGCCGTGGCGTGCATCCAATCGGGCTTAAACGCTGAGATCAACATAAGCGGGGCTGCCTGGTGATCCTCCCAGACTGGCTGCAGAGAGGAGGTAGATCTCGTGAGGCAGGCAGGAGGAAGAGCGGCGCCCTCCGCGACCACGATCGCCACGACAACACGCCTCACGCCGTGGCTAGAGCCCAGCCAGCTCCGTTAGCACCGCTCTATCGCTCTACCAGGGGACCATCTGCCGTTGCGTCCCCTCTCCCTCCCTCTCTCTATCTCTCTATCCCTCTCTTCTTCGCTTCCTCTCTACACACGTTAGCTGCTCCTCTCATTTGGGTGCGTCCGAGGTTCTGCTGCCAGTCATTATGAAGCACAGCGTGGCAGCAGCAGCCATGGAGGTGACACTTATAGGTAAGACACTGGCTGATATGCTTTATCTACCTCTAGAGAGAAGAGAGTGAGAGAGAAGAGCAGGGGCTTTGGCTGCTGGCTGCTGGCTGAGAGAGGAGAGGGGGGAAGGGGTTTGTGTTGTTGCCTGGCTGCGGAGGAGAGTTGAGAGGTAAGGAGCAGAGCAATGCTCATAGGACAGATGGGGCAGTGCTGGGTAGTGTGTGTGTGTGTGTGTGTGTGTGTGTGTGTGTGTGTGTGTGTGTGTGTGTGTGTGTGTGTGCACGAGCACCCGCGCGTTTGTGCATGCGACTCTGTGAGGCATAATCAGGTTAGAGCAGCCCATCTCAGCCTTCTGATTAAAAGCCTCCCAATCACAGCAAACACAGAGCCTAAAGCTCACTCTGAAGCTGTATTTGTGAACACAGACAGAGCAGAGGGAAGTGGTGGCAGTTTTTTTAAAATCTGATAACTGCTTGCATCAGTTACCTGATGTGGAATAGAGTTCCATGTAGTCATGGCTCCACGTAGTACTGTGTGCCTCCAATAGCCTGTTCTGGACTTGGGGATTGTGAAGAGATCTCTGGTGGCATGTCTTGTGGGGTATGCATGGGTGTCCGAGCTGTGTGCTAGTAGTTTAAACAGACAGCTCGGTGCATTCAGCTTGTCAACACAAGTAGTGATGAAGTCAATCTCTCCTCCACTTTGAGCCATGAGAGATTTACATGCATATTATTAAAATTAGCTCTCCCATGTACATTTATGGGCCAGCCGTGCTGCCCTGTTCTGAGCCAATTGCAATTTTCTGAGGTATATACTGTAGCAATATAAAACAACTAGATGATGGTCTTTGACATGGTTACTGTAGCTATAGCTACCCCCAGGATAATCTGCTTTGTCTAGAAGACTCCATTCACATTTGGCCTTGTTGGATTATGCAAATAGAAATCCTCACAGGCCTCGATTATTACTGGTGCTGGGCTGCAGGCAAGCCTCCTCCTTGACCTATTGTCTCCCTGCTGCTGTGCTAGCATGCTATGATGTGGCCCCTCTCGTCCACTGAGTAGATTCCAATGGCATTTAGTACCTAAGCCTGGCTAACCACTGTATCTGTGACAGAAAAGAGACAATGTCCGGGTTCAGCAACTCTTTTATTATTTTGAAACATATTGCATGGTCATGTGTAGCCTAATGTTGAATTGGGCTCCATATCCCCAACAGAGGGAGGTAGTTTAGCTTAGGCTAGATGTTGTTTCAGAGATGGGTGTAGTGGTGAATGTACACTTAATGGCCAGTTTATTAGGGACACCCATCTAGTACCGGGTCGGTCCCCTCTTTGCCTCCAGAACAGCCTGAATTATTCGGGGCATGGAAACATTTCTCAATTAGTATCAAGGGACTTAACTACTGCCACCAGCCTGTACCGTTGACATCCGGCAGGATGGGGCCATAGACTCATGCTGCTTACGTCAAATCCTGACTCTGCCATCATAACGACGCAACCGGAACCGGGATTCGTCGGACCAGGTGATTGTTTTCTGCTACTCAATTGTCCAGTGTTGGTGATCATGTGCCCACTGGAGCCGCTTCTTCTTGTTTTTAGCTGATCGGAGTGGAACCCGGTGTGGTCGTCTGCTGCAATAGCCTGTTTGTGGCCCGCCCTTTAGCTTACACAATTCTTGCCATTCTTCTTCGGCCTCTCATCAACAAGCTGTTTTCACCCACAGGACTGCCGCTGAGTGAATGTTTTTTGTTTGTCGCACCATTCTCGGTAAACCCTAGACACTGTTGTGTATGAAAAGCCCAGGAGGCCGTTTCTGAGATACTGGAATCGGTGCGCCTGACACCGACAATCATACCACGCTCAAAGTCGCTTAGTTCACTAGTTTTGCCCATTCTAACATTCAATCGAACAGTAACTGAATGCCTCGATGCCTGTCTGCCTGCTTTATTTAGCAAGCTGCGGCCTCGTGACTCACTGTCTGTAGGAGCGAACCATTTTCGTGAATAGGGTTGTGTACCTAATAGTCTTATGTGTCTAGCTCTGAGAGGCAGCTAGCTAGAGCAGTGAGAGGCAGAGCACAGCCCACCACCTCCCCATAGACCTTCAGTCCGTCTCCTCTCCTCCAGCACAGAGACCAGACATTCCCATTCTAGACAGGTTTTTTCTCCCTCCCCCCTACATTTTCTCCATCTCTCTTTTCCACCTTTGTCCTCCTTCTCCCTCCTTCTTTTCCACACATACACACTCTCTACCGCTCTCCTCTCTTTCTTCATATCAATACTCTCTCTCTCTCTCTCTCTCTCTCTCTCTCTCTCTCTCTCTCTCTCTCTCTCTCTCTCTCTCTCTCTCTCTCTCTCTCTCTCTCTGAACTTCTCTCCTGTTCCTTTCCTTTAGTGATGTCAGACCAGCTATTGATGTCCCATCTCTCTGCCTGTTTGCCTTCCACCCTAACAAGGTTTCCCTTATTGTCTTTGCTTCTGAGGGGGGAGGGGGGGCAGTCTCAACCCCTCACCTCCCCCTCTCAGATACGGGGAGGATGGCGTGATGGAGGGAAAGAGGGGAACGAGGTAGGGGAGAGGGAGCATTGCTGAACACTGTGGCCCTAGGGGGCATCTCTCATCTGTCAGAGCAGTCTGCCTCGACACACGCTGATAAGGCCAACGCTGTGCACACAAATAACAGCTGGGGTAATCAAGCAGCAATCAGCAGCAAGGTATTTGAACAGAGATGGAGACAGATGGATATTTAGATGTCATGTTGTGGTAGGGTTTGGATGTGATGTCTGGTGGCACATAGCAATATGACAGAGAACGATGACAGAAGAGGACATTTAGATGGATGAAGATTCTGATATAGATTGAATCAGAAGGCTGTGTTGTCTAACATGGGAAAGATAGAGGTAGCTGTACATCACCACAGTGGTCATGAATGAGCAGAACTAGACTGGTTGTGTGTGTAGTAATTTCCCTTAGCGTGTATAGATATCTGCAACCGACACTGCTCTTGTTTAGGTCCCAAATGGCACCCTATTCCCTATTCCCTATTCAGTGCACTACTTTTGACCACAGCCATATGAGCCCTGGTCAACAGTAGTGCACCATTTGGGACACAGACTACGACTGCGGTGTTACACCCATGAGCCCAGATGCTTTGTAACAAAGGGTCCTAAAAGCTGTGGTAAAGAAGGTTGATATTTTCTTCACCTTGAAGACGTGAAGCATGCATGAAGCACTGAAGCATGCATGAGAGCACCAGCTGTTCCGGATGACTATGTGATCACGCTCTCCGTAGCCAATGTGAGTAAGACTTTTAAGCAGGTCAACATTCACAAGGCCGCAGGGCCAGATGGATTACCAGGACGTGTACTCCGTGCATGCGCTGACCAACTGGCAAGTGTCTTCACTGACATTTTCAACATGTCCCTGACTGAGTATGTAATACCAATATGTTTCAAGCAGACCACCATAGTCCCCGTGCCCAAGAACACTAAGATAACCTGCCTAAATAACTACCAACCCGTAGCACTGACGTCTGTAGCCATGAAGTGCTTTGAAAGGCTGGTCATGGCTCACATCAACACCATTATCCCAGAAACCCTAGACCCACTCCAATTTGCATACCGCCCCAACAGATCCACAGATGATGCAATCTATATTGCACTCCACACTGCCCTTTCCCACCTGGACAAGAGGAACACCTACAGTGAGGGAAAAAGGTATTGGATCCCCTGGTGATTTTGTACGTTTGCCCACTGACAAAGACATGATCAGTCTATAATTGTAATGGTAGGTTTATTTGAACAGTGAGAGACAGAATAACAACAAAAAAATCCAGAAAAACGCATGTCGAAAATGTTATAAATTGATTTGCATTTTAATGAGGGAAATAAGTATTTGACCCCTCTGCAAAACATGACTTAGTACTTGGTGGCAAAACCCTTGTTGGCAATCACAGAGGTCAGACGTTTCTTGTAGTTGGCCACCAGGTTTGCACACATCTCAGGAGGGATTTTGTCCCACTCCTCTTTGCAGATCTTCTCCAAGTCATTAAGGTTTCGAGCCTGACGTTTGGCAACTCGAACCTTCAGCTCCCTCCATAGATTTTCTATGGGATTAAGGTCTGGAGACTGGCTAGGCCACTCCAGGACCTTAATGTGCTTCTTCTTGAGCAACTCCTTTGTTGCCTTGGCCGTGTGTTTTGGGTCATTGTCATGCTGGAATACTTATCCACGACCCATTTTCAATGCCCTGGTTGAGGGGAGGAGGTTCTCACCCAAGATTTGACGGTACATGGCCCCGTCAATCCTCCCTTTGATGCGGTGAAGTTGTCCTGCCCTTAGCAGAAAAACACCTCCAAAGAATAATGTTTCCACCTCCATGTTTGACGGTGGGGATGGTGTTCTTGGTGTCATAGGCAGCATTCCTCCTCCTCCAAACACGGCGAGTTGAGTTGATGCCAAAGAGCTCGATTTTGGTCTCATCTGACCACAACACTTTTACCCAGTTCTCCTCTGAATCATTCAGATGTTCATTGGCAAACTTCAGACGGGCCTGTATATGTGTTTCTTGAGCAGGGGGACCTTGCGGGCGCTGCAGGATTTCAGTCCTTCACGGTGTAGTGTGTTACCAATTGTTTTCTTGGTGACTATGGTCCCAGCTGCCTTGAGATCATTGACAATATCCTCCCGTGTAGTTCTGGGCTAATTTCTCACCGTTCTCATGATCATTGCAACTCCACGAGGTGAGATCTTGCATGGAGCCCCTGGCCGAGGGAGATTGACAGTTCTTTTGTGTTTCTTCCATTTGCAAATAATCGCACCAACTGTTGTCACCTTCTCACCAAGCTGCTTGGCGATGGTCTTGTAGCCCATTCCAGCCTTGTGTAGGTCTACAATCTTGTCCCTGACATCCTTGGAGAGCTCTTTGGTCTTGGCCATGGTGGAGAGTTTGGAATCTGATTGATTGATTGCTTCTGTGGACAGGTGTCTTTTATACAGATAACAAGCTGAGATTAGGAGCACTCCCTTTAAGAGTGTGCTCCTAATCTCAGCTCGTTACCTGTATAAAAGACACCTGGGAGCCAGAAATCTTTCTGATTGAGAGGAGGTCAAATACTTATTTCCCTCATTAAAATACAAATCAATTTATAACATTTTTGACATGCGTTTTTCTGGATTTTTTTGTTGTTATTCTGTCTCTCACTGTTCAAATAAACCTACCATTAAAATTATAGACTGATCATTTCTTTGTCAGTGGGCAAACGTACAAAATCAGCAGGGGATCAAATACTTTTTTCCCTAACTGTACGTGAGAATGCTATTCATTGACTACAGCTCAGCATTCAACACCATAGAGCCCTCAAAGCTCATCACTAAGCTAAGGATCCTGGGACTAAACACCTCCCTCTGCAACTGGATCCTGGACTTCCTGACGAGCCGCCCCCAGGTGGTAAGGGTAGGTAACAACACATCTGCCACACTGATCCTCAACACGGGGGCCCTTCAGGGGTGCGTGCTCAGTCCCCTCCTGTACTCCCTGTTCACCCATGACTGCATGGCCAGGCACGACTCCAACACCATCATTAAGTTTGCCGACGACACAACAGTGGTAGGCCTGATCACCAACAACGATGAGACAGCCTATAGGGAGGAGGTCCGAGACCTGGCCGTGTGGTGCCAGGATAACAACCTCTCCCTCAACGTGACCAAGACAAAGGAGATGATTGTGGACTACAGGAAAAAAAGAGGACTGAGCACGCCCCCATTCTCATCGACGGGGCTGTAGTGGAACAGGTTGAGAGCTTCAAGTTCCTTGGTGTCCACATCACCAACAAACTATCATGGTCCAAACACACCAAGACAGAAGAGAGCACGACAAAGCCTATTCCCCCTCAGGAGACTGAAAAGATTTGGTATGGGTCCTCACATCCTCAAAAAATTCTACAGCTGCACCATCGAGAGCATCCTGACTGGTTGCATCACCGCCTGGTATGGCAACTGCTTGACCTCCGACCGCAAGGCACTACAAAGTGTAGTGCGTACGGCCCAGTACATCACTGGGGCCAAGCTTCCTGCCATCCAGGACCTCTATACCAGGCGGTGTCAGAGGAAGGCCCTCAAAATTGTCAAAGACTCCAGCCACCCTAGTCATAGACTGTTCTCTCTGCTACCGCACGGCAAGCGGTACCAGAGTGCCAAGTCTAGGTCCAAAAGACTTCTCAACAGCTTCTACCCCCAAGCCATAAGACTCCTGAACAGCTAATCATGGCTACGCGGACTATTTGCACTGCCCCCCATCTTTTTACGCTGCTGCTACTCTGTTAATTATTTATGCATAGTCACTTTAACTCTACCCACATGTACATATTACTTCAACTACCTCAACTAGCCGGTGCCCCCTCACATTGACTCTGCACCGGTACCCCTCTGTATATATAGCCTCCCTACTGTTATTTTATTTTACTTCTGCTCTTTTTTTCTCAACACTTTTTGTTGTTGTTTTATTTAACTTTTTTATTAAAAATAAATGCACAGTTGGTTAAGGGCTGTAAGTAAGCATTTCACTGTAATGTCTGCACCTGTTGTATTCGGCGCATGTGGCCAATAACATTTTATTTTATTTTATTTGAATCTGTGTGTGTATGTGACTGCCTTTACCTTGTATAGGTGTGTGTTTCTTTGTTGTGTGTGTGTGTGTGTAGCAGCAGCTGTGTCTTCCAGACTGTGTGTGTGTCCCCTCTTCTTGCCAGTCTGTCAGGCAGAGGTGTATGTGTACTCTGCCTGACACTGACAGAATCTGCTGGTTACTGAACACCAGTCACGTCTCAGGTCATGATGTTTCTCCTTAGCTCACCTCATCTGCCTAACAAAGGATGTGTCCCAAACAGGGGAGTCATTTCAGCTAAACTTAGGGTATGGCAAAGTGACAGTGTTTGAGGTGACATGTGTTTGAGGTGAGTGAAGCTACAGCAGCTGGGTGATTTATACATTTGAAGCTCATTTACTGCATTTTTATACAATTTTAAAACTCTAAAATGCTATTTGGAGAACAGCAGAAAATGATCAAAATTGGCTCCAGCCATTATCACCCAGCTGCTGCAGCTTCATTCACCTATAACACATGTCATACAGAAATGAGCTGCTATGCACTAGCTAGCTCAGCACTGGGATGTCAATGATTAGCCTCATACTGTTACTGTACAGCAGAAAATCTGTAATATATGAATGACTGTCCTATAGTAATGTGAATGTTCAATGTTTTATTTAATTAGGGAGTCTAGAACAAATGTAATGAAAACATTGACATGTTGAATAAACAACAGTCCGATGCATTGTACCATCATGTTAGCTCGCGCTTTTTGTCAAGACTGTATTAAGCTGTAGTGTGTGTGTGTGTGTCTGAAACCGTAAAGCACATAAAACCGCTGTGTTGCCACGATGCCTCCATCTCAAAATGCCAACATCATGCAGCAACAGCAGCAGTAAACAGAACCTTATTGAAGCGTAAGGAAGGTTCTCTGGAGAGAGAGAGAGAGAGAGAGAGAGAGAGAGCGTTATAAGTTATTGGTTATGTGGTCTGAATGGGAATGATAATGTGCTGTTCATTAGGGAAGAAACGTTTCAAAACGTTTTGCAACAGAAAACAAAACTGACCCTATCTTATTGGACAAGACCAGGTAGTTCCTCCCTGTATCAGTAAGTCTAATGACACAGGACCCTGTAGTCTGTCAGGCTCACCTCTGTCAAGATGGTTCGTATTAAATGGGATGAATATTCAAACCTATATATCACTATGCAGCCCTCCCTCCGCCTGCCTGTCAGTCTTGGAGGAGGCCAATCAACTTAGACCCAGACCTGAGGGAAACGCTGATATGGCTAAACCCTCATTGAGGGGTGTAAATCTGGCCTCATGATGGTGGTCTCTCCCCCTTCCTCCTGGAGGAGAACATAACCTACCGGACATACATCTTCACTTTAGGAGACAGACAGGAGAGGAACAGGAGACAATGGTGTCTCATAAGTATCCTCCCATCATACATGGGATGCCATAGGTGGAGTTCCTCCAGAGAGGAGAGAGAATGGGATGAAACAGAGTCAGAGTATTTAGTTTTTATCTCTGTTTTCTTCCCCCTGAAGGCTGAAAGGTAGAGGAGAGGGGTTTGGTACTTCCACTAGGATATGAAATAAGGCCAACCTGAACTTGTCCAATAAGAACACATATTTTGGTGTTTTGTTGCAAAGCGTTTTATTACAGTGTGTTCTACTGAACACATCCCGGAACTCTTCCCACATCAAGCTCTGAAATGTATGTCTCTCCATACATATTGTTGTTCATCCTGGTTCTCCTCAGAGGCCAGACGACCCGCGTAAAGCAGAGGGGATTAGAGTGTGTCTGGGGGCTGGGGGATGACACAGAGCCTCCCTGGCTCTCCCTGGGGACACTCAGAAGCCTGTCACTAATCATGGTGAATGACCCTCTCCCCTCTCCCCTTAACACCCCACCAACCCACCAGTCTACAGGGGGAGAGAGACAGCCAAAAAGGGTAATAAAGTGACATCCTTCCCTATGTATTTTCCTATAATAAAAAATAAAAACACATGACCCAGATGGATGCTGTCTACTAAATAGAAGGGGGTAGGGGAAAGTATAGCCAAACGGCTGTAGCTCTTAATGGCTCCGTTGGTAAAGCATGGGTTTTGGGTTCAATTCCCACGTTCACCGCTCGAGATAACTACCCAGTCGCTCCAGATAACTACCCAGTCGTACTCTATCTGAAAACATGACAGCGCAGTTATTATCTTGCTGTTTTCCCCCGCCCTGTTTTTTGTTTGTTTTCCAAGGTCATTGTTATGCCAAGTTTTACGCAGAGTGTTGTGATTACCACCGTGGCAGAACATATTTGCATCCCAGAAGATAAATCTGGATTAAAGAGTGTAATCAGCTGGAAAATGATGGATTTTTTTGGTTGGTGGTTCAGTGATGCCACCCGGTTTATCGGATCTGGAATTAAAAATGGGTTAATTCCTTTAATTCCTCTTTATGGCACTCACTCACAGCGAGCGTGGATGCCCAAATAGTGGATTTGAAGCAGGGCCATTTCCACTCCTCTGTGAGCTACTGTCGATTTTTAGAGACCATTATCCAAAAAAAACAACCTGTTAACGCTTTGGTTTGAAGGTTTTTGGGTGCTGTTGTATACCTTTAGTGATGTTTTCTCTTCACTTCCCTTAATTTTTTTATTTCTCACCCCTGGCGAGGGCTCAGTCTTCATCTGGTTAGATTTCACTAAGCTTTTCGGATCAGAATTCTGCACTATAATCGCCTCTTCACTCACAACAAACACACACACACACTGACACAGACACCGACACCGACACAGACAGACAGACAGACACACACAGACAGACAGACACACACACAGACAGACACACAGACAGACAAACAGGCACACACACCGACACAGTCACACACACAGACAGACAGACAGGCAGGCAGACACAGACAGACAGACAGACAGACAGACAGACAGACAGACAGACAGACAGACAGACAGACAGACAGACAGGCAGGCAGGCAGGCAGGCAGGCAGGCAGGCAGGCAGACAGTGTATATCTTCCCCTGGCTCTCTCTCTGCTCTTTCTTTCTCTCTCTATCTGTGTGGATCATTCTTCGTTACTGACGTGTTGACACATGGTGGGAAGACTTGTTTGCACTTTATTGATGATTCCTGTTAACAGAAGGAGGTGTTTGCTTAGACCCACACATATTTAACCCTCAACCTGTAAGAGAGGAAGATAGGGTAACATAATTAACCATCAGCCTGTTAGAGAGAGGAAGAGAGGGTAACATAATTAACCATCAGCCTGTTGGAGAGAGAGAGGAAGATAGTGTAACATAATTAACCATCAGCCTGTTGGAGAGCGAGAGGAAGATAGGGTAACAGAATTAACCATCAGCCTGTTGGAGAGCGAGAGCACCTACAACACCCTCTTCATTCACTAAGGAAGGAACCCACCACACCCATCTCAAGAGACATATATATGTGCACTCTATCACTTCAATCTATACAGTTATAGTATGTTTCTAATGTGATAAATCACCAAAATATATATAAGTTTATTGGTTGACTAACATCTACAGATAACATCTACAGATTTGTAGATGTTATTGAAGGTGCAGCGAAATTCTTGTGTTTCTAGCACCAATAGTGCAGTAACAATACCTAGCAATCACATAATCACAAGAAATTAAGAAATACCAGAGCGAGCAATGTCAGGGTCCGGAATGTAAATATACTGTATATACACTGAGTGTACAAAACATTAAGAACACCTGCTCTTTCCTTGACATAGACTGATCGGGTGTTTATTTCACTGTTAATATTACAGAACCTTTGTTTTTTATTCTTGACACCCTAGACTTAATATTTGGTAGCACAGCCTTTGGTCAAAAATAACTGCAATCAAGTGCTTCCTATAGCCTTCGATGAGCTTCCTGCACCTCTGTACTGGCAGTTTGGCCCAGTCCTCTTGTGCAAACTGCTCCAGTTCTCCCAGATTTTAAGTGGGCCTTCTCCCAACTGCTGTTCTCAGATCTCTCCACAAGTTTTCAATGGGATTTAGATCTGGACCCACTTCAGAACAGTCCAGCGTTTTGTCTTGAACCATTCCTGGGTGCTTTTTGAAGTGTGTTTGAGGTCATTGTCCTGCTGGAAGACCCATAATCTTAGATGGAGACTCAGCTTTCTGACACTGGGTCTGACATTGCGCTCCAAAATGCGTTGGTATTCTCTTGATTTCATGATGCCATGCACACATTCAAGGCACCCAGTGCCAGAGGTAGCAAAGCAACCCCAAAACATCACTGAACCTCCTCCATGTTTGACTGTAGGGAAGGTGTTCTTTTCTTTGAAGGCTTCATTTTGTTTTCTGTAAACATAGAGATGGTGTGCTTTACCAAAAAGCTCTAATTTGGTCTCATCTGTCCACAGGACATTCTCCCAGAAGGATTTTGGCATGTTCAGGTGTGTTTTGGCAAATTGCAGTTAGGGTTTCTTATGTCTCTCTCTCAGCAGTGGGGTCCTCCTGGGTGTCCTACCATATAACCCCCTTTCATTGAGTTGGCGACGGATGGTGCGAGTTGAAACTGTCGTACCTTGTGTCTGAAGGTCAGCTTGAATCTGTGTGGCAGTTGATTGAGGTGCTTTCTCCACCATTCGAACAATCCTTCGCTGCAAGTTTTCTCTTGCGGCTACGTCCAGGGAGGTTGGCTACAGTGGCATGGGCCTTTAACTTCTTGATAACATTACTTACGCTGGAAATGGGAACATCAAGGTATCTGGAGATACCACCCATCTACACACAATACACACAATCTACACACAATACCCCCCATCTACACACAATACCCCATAATGACAATGTCAAAACATGTTTTTAGACATTTTGTGCAAATGTATTGAAAATGAAATACAGAAATGTGTCATTTAACATAAATATTCACACCCCTGAGTCAATACATGTTAGAATAACGTTTGGCAGCGATTACAGCTGTGAGTCTTTCTGGGTAAGTCTCTAAGAGTTTTGCACACCTGGATTGTACAATATTTGCACATTATTCATTTTAAAATTCAAGCTCTGTCAAGTTGGTTGTTGATCATTGCTAGATAGCCATTTTCAAGTCTTGCCATAGATTTTCAAGCCGATTTAAGTCAAAACTGTAACCAGGCCACTCAGGAACATTCAATGTCATCTTGGTAAGTAACTCCAGTGTATATTTGGCCTTGTGTTTTATGTTATTTTCCAGCTGAAAGCTGAATTTGTCTCCCAGTGTCTGTTGGAAAGCAGACTGGACCTGGTTTTCCTCTAGGATGTTGCCTGTGCTTAGATATTTTCAGTTTATTTTTATTTTAAAAAAAACTCCCTATTCCTTGCCGATGACAAGCATACCCATAACATAATGCAGCCACCGCCATGCTTGAAAATATGAAGTGGTACTCAGTGATGTGTTTTCTCATCTCAAAGCCATTAAACTCTGTAACTGTTTTAAAGTCACCATTGGCCACAAATCTCTGAGTGGTTTCCTTCCTCTCCGGCAACTGAGTTAGGAAGGACACCTGTATCTTTGTAGTGACTGGTTATATTGATACACCATCCAAAGTGTAATTATTAACTTCACCATGCTCAAAGGGATATTTAATGTCCTTCTTTGGGAAGCATTGGAAAACCTCCCTGGTCTTTGTGGTTGAATCTGTGTTTGAAATTCACTGCTCAACAGAGGGACCTTACAGATAATTGTATGTGTGGGGTACAGAGATGTGATAGACATAGAAAAGTATTGTTAAACACTATTATTGCACACAAGAGTCAGTTGTTAAGCACATTTTTACTCCTGAACTTATTTAGGATTGCCATAATAAAGGGGTTGACTCAAGACATTTCAGCTTTTCATTTTTTATTAATTTGTAAAAATGTCTAAAAACATAATTCCACTTTGACATTATGGGGTATTGTGTGTAGGCCAGTTACAGAAAATATATTTTAAATTCAGGCTGTAACACAACAAAATGTGGAAAAAGTCAAGGGGTGTGAATACTTTCTGAAGGCACTGTAGGTACTCAGCTTTTAGAGATTCCCTAAATACTGTTCCGGCCTCACACTTAGCGATGGAAGAGAGACTCAAGCCACCATTTGTTATGAATATTGTATGTGGAAATATGATTTGAGAGGAGTCCTTTAGGGCTGAAGCATTTGGAAAGTGCTGGGTGGAGGTGTGTGTGTGTGTGTGTGTGTGTGGATCTTCAGATGGGAGGATATTGAGGCAGTTATGATAATTCTTCAGTTGTGCTCACTCAGGTACTCTACTATATATGATGGTGTGTATAGACTGTATGGACAGTATATGAATGGACAAGGTGTGTACAGCAGTAGTTATATAGGATGGGCCATGACTAGAATACAGTATATACAGTGAGGGGGGGAAAAGTATTTGATGCTGATTTTGTACGTTTGCCCACTGACAAAGTCATGATCAGTCTATAATTTTAATGGTAGGTTTATTTGAACAGTGAGAGACAGAATAACAACAAAAAAATCCAGAAAAACACATGTCAATAATGTTATAAATTGATTAGCATTTTAATGAGGGAAATAAGTATTTGACCCCTCTGCAAAACATGACTTAGTACTTGGTGGCAAAACCCTTGTTGGCAATCACAGAGGTCAGATGTTTCTTGTAGTTGGCCACCAGGTTTGCAGACATCTCAGGAGGGATTTTGTCCCACTCCTCTTTGCAAATCTTCTCCAAGTCATTAAGGTTTCGAGGCTGAAGTTTGGCAACTCGAACCTTCAGCTCCCTCCACAGATTTTCTATGCGATTAAGGTCTGGAGACTGGCTAGGCCACTCCAGGACCTTAATGTGCTTCTTCTTGAGCCACTCCTTTGTTGCCTTGGCCATGTGTTTTGGCTCATTGTCATGCTGGAATACCCATCCACGACCCATTTTCAATGCCCTGGCTGAGGGAAGGAGGTTCTCACCCAAGATTTGACGGTACATGGCCCCGTCCATCGTCCCTTTGATGCGGTGAAGTTGTCCTGTCCCCTTAGCAGAAAAACACCCCCAAAGCATAATGTTTCCACCTCCATGTTTGACGGTGGGGATGGTGTTCTTGGGGTCATAGGTAGAATTCCTCCTCCTCCAAACACGGCGAGTTGAGTTGATGCCAAAGAGCTTGATTTTGGTCTCATCTGACCACAACACTTTCACCCAGTTCTCCTCTGAATCATTCAGATGTTCATTGGCAAACTTCAGACGGGCCTGTATATGTGCTTTCTTGAGCAGGGGGACCTTGCGGGCGCTGCAGGATTTCAGTCCTTCACATCGTAGTGTGTTACCAATTGTTTTCTTGGTGACTATGGTCCCAGCTGCCTTGAGATCATTGACAAGATCCTCCCGTGTAGTTCTGGGTTGATTCCTCACCGTTCTCATGATCATTGCAACTCCATGAGGTGAGATCTTGCATGGAGCCCCAGGCCGAGAGATTGTGTTTCTTCCATTTGCGAATAATCTCACCAACTGTTGTCACCTTCTCACCAAGCTGCTTGGCGATGGTCTTGTAGCTTATTCCAGCCTTGTGTAGGTCTACAATCTTGTCCCTGACATCCTTGGAGAGCTCTTTGGTCTTGGCCATGGTGGAGAGTTTGGAATCTGATTGATTGATTGCTTCTGTGGACAGGTGTCTTTTATACAGGTAACAAACTGAGATTAGGAGCACTCCCTTTAAGAGTGTGCTCCTAATCTCAGCTCGTTACCTGTATAAAAGACACCTGGGAGCCAGAAATCTTTCTGATTGAGAGGGGGTCAAATACTTATTTCCCTCATTAAAATGCAAATCAATTTATAAAATCTTTGACATGCGTTTTTCTGGATTTTTTGTTGTTATACTGTCTCTCACTGTTCAAATAAATCTACCATTAAAATTATAGACTGATAATTTCTTTGTCAGTGGGCAAACGTACAAAATCAGCAGGGGATCAAATACTTTTTTCCCTCACTGTACATATAAAGTGGGTGAAACAGGATGTAAACAGTACTAAAGTGACCAGTGTTCTTTATGTACATAAGGCAAAGCAGTCTCTTAAGGTGCAGGGTAGAGTACCGGGTGGTAGCCGGCTAGTAACAGTGACTAAAGTTCAAGGCAGGGTACTGGGTGGAGGCCAGCTAGTGGTGACTATTTAACATTCTGATGGCCTGGAGATAGAAGCTGTTTATCAGTCTCTCAATCCCAGCTTTGATGCACCTGTACTGTCTCCTCCTTTTAGTGGGGTGAAGTGGCCGTGGCTCGGGTGGCTGAGGTTCTTGATGTTCTTTTTGCCCTTCCGGTGACACCGGGTGCTGTAGTTGTCCTGAAGGGCAGGCAGTGTGCTCCCAATGATGTATTGGGATTGCGGAAGATGCAATTGCCGTACCAGGCAGTGATACAGCCCGACAGGATGCTCTCAATAGTGGATCTGTAGAAGTTTGTGAGGGTCTTAGGGGCCAAGCCACATTTCTTCAGCCTCCTGATGTTGAAGAGGCGCTGTTGCGCCTTCTTCACCACACTGTCTGTGTGAAGGGACCATTTCAGGTTGTCAGTAATGTGCATGGCAAGGAACTTTTGTACCCTCTCCACTGCGGCCCCGTCGACGTAGATGGGGGTGTGTTCTCGCTACTGGCTCCTCTAGTCAACAATCAGCTCCTTCGTTTTGTTGACGTTGAGGGAGAGGTTATTTTCCTGGCACCACTTCACCAGGGCCATCACTTCCTCCCTCTAGGCTGTCTTGTCATTGTTGCAAACTTGATTGAGTTAGAGACGTGCGTGGCCACGCAGTCATGGGTGAACAAGGAGTACAGGAGGGGGCTGAGCACGCACCCCTGTGAGGCCCCCGTGTTGAGGATCAGCGTGGCGGAGGTGGTGTTGCCTACCTTCACCACTTGGGGTCATCCCGTCAGGAAGTCCAGGACTTGTGCAGGGAGGGCTTCAGACCCAGGGCCTTGAGCTTAGTGATGAGCTTGGAGTGCACTATGGTGTTGAATGCTGAGCTGTAGTCGATGAACATCATTCTTACAAAGCTATTTATATTGTCCAGGTTGGATAGGGCAGTGTGCAGTGCAATTGATATTGTGTCGTCCATGGATCTGTTGGGGCAGTATGCGAATTGTAGTGGGTCTAGGTTGTCGGGTAAGGTGGAGGTGATATGGTCCTTAACTAGCCTCTCAAAGTACTTCATGTTGACAGAAGTGAGTGCTACGGGGCGAAAGTCATTTAGTTCAGTTACCTTCGCTTTCTTGGATAAAGGAACAATGGTGGACATCTTGAAGCAAGTGGGGACAACAGACTGGTATATGGGGACATTGAATATGTCCGTAAACACTCCAGCAAGCTGAGGACGAGACTTGGGATGCCGTCTGGGCCGGCAACCTTGCGAGGGTTAACACGCTTAATTGACGTACTCACGTCAGCCACGGAGAATGAGAACAGTCCTAGTTAGCGGAGGGGGCCCGTGTCGGCGGCACGATGTTTTCCACGAAGCGGGGAAGAAGGTGTTTAACTTATCAGGGAGCGAGGCGTCTGTGTCCGCGATGTGGGTCACAGAGGAGTTTGTTCTAGAGTCATAACAGCGTGTTACACCTTCCATTCAGTAGAACATGTTATTGGTGTGTTCATCTAGATATCAATGATGGAATTGTCTCCTGTTAAATTCCTGTTGAGTAAATGTGCATGTTTCGTGTACCTGCTCACTCAAGGATTTGGGCTCTCTAATTGTGTGAGCGCTGATCACACTGCTACTACAATCAGAGCAAACGGGCTGCATTCCCTATATACACCCAGTGGGCCCTGGTCAAAAGTAGTGCACTATATAGGGAATAGGGTGCCTTTTGGGACACAGACAGTGCCTTTTGAGCGTGACAGCAGCCCGTATCGTCCCAGACTGACAGGTCCTTTGATATGCTGATCGTTTGTTTGTTCATCTGGCTTCCTGCCGCAGGCGTTCACTTCCTCCCCTCCTCCAAACGCAGATCTTCTCTCTCACTCTCTCGCTCAGCTTCTGCTATTCTCCTGAGCTCTGCAAACATCCTGGAGGGCAGACACTTTGCGAGGAGCTGGGATGTTTGCCTGAGAGCTCCAAAAAGTGATGTGAAAATGTCCACTGACACATCTTTGATATATTTTCAGATAGCTGTGTGCGAGTAATACAAAAAATTATAAAATGCCATTTTTATATCACATCATGGGACGGTTTCCCAGACACAGATTCATCATAGTCCTAAAAAGCTCTTTCAAGGAAGAACCTCCATTGAGAATGCTTTCTAAACCAGGTCTAAGATAAATCTGTGTCTGGGGAAACCAGCCCCATATGTATAACCTAGGTTTCCTTCTCTCTCTACCTCCTATCCAGTCATCCAAGGTCACTCCACCTCTCCACTCTTCTAAATCCCCCTCTCTTTCTTCTCCTCCCAGGTGATGCAGGTGGTGAGGGATCAGATCATGCGAGCGCTGACACAGAAGCCTAATTCCCTGGACCAGTTGAAGAGTCGCCTGCAGAACCTGAGTTACACTGAGATCCTGAAGATACGCCAGTCTGAGAGGATGAACCAAGAAGACTTCCAGTCCCGCCCTATCCTGTGAGTCAACTGTGGGTGGTTGAGTGGGTGGTTGAGTGGGTGGGTGAGTGGGTGGGTGAGTGGGTGGGTGTGAGGATGGGTGTGTGCGTGCGTGCATGTCCTCTCAATAGGAAAATATAGAACTGCCTGAGAAAGGAAGCAGTCAGTGATATTTCTAGGTAGATGTACCCAATCCTTCATTAAAAGAGGAGAAAAACATTGAGGCAGTGAGAGGGAAGAAAGGAAATATTCATGACATGGATGTCCTCATGCCCCATCCTTTATCCAGTCCAAAAACAGGAACAAGAGACAAGTGGAAGAAAGGAAACACGTTCGTTAATACTAATTTAATAGAACCCCCCGTCCCTCCACCCCTCGCTCATTTCCATCCATTTACCATATAATGTCGGCTATTGGCATGGCACACCTGCGTTCGGTTCCCCTCATGATTGAAAATCTGCATTAAAATCGAATTTGTCTACAAATGTTATTCTGAGTGAATACTCCATTAAGGTCTGATAACGCATTAGACTAGAGAGAGAGTGAGTGTGTGTGTGTGTTCAGTTCTATTAAAGCAGTCATTAACTGCTTATGGATAAAGTCATGGTAATGAAGAACATTGTTTGTTCTGTCACTGTATTTTAAGGAATGGAGCATCTAGCTGTATTGAAAATCATTTCATACAGCCAGCTTTGTCTCTGAAGAATGATCAATACCGGACAATGGGATTTATGAAGCTGATAATGATAATGTGAAAGGGTAATTGTTATTGGAGAAATGAGGGAGGGGATATGGTTTTAGCTTTTAGATGGTAAGCGTCAGATGTTTGGGCAGGTGGGGTTGTTCAAACGTTAGGTTTGCAATGTGCTGGAAAGAAAGGCCAGTGAAATATTTACATTCCGTAAAGGCACTGACTCAAATTAGACCATCTTATATGAACAGGGTCTTATAAAGAATTAATATTAAATTCATTAGTGCAGAGGAAACATTTATGAGAGAAGGCGTTAGGATGCGTCCCAAATGGTACCCTATTCCCTACATAGGGCCCTCGTCAAAAGTTATGCACTTAATGTACAGCTTTACCTAATGTAATCTACAATACAGTAACTGTATAGAAGGGGAGAAATATCATTTATAATTAATTCTCGAATCCTCCATATAATTTTGGTTCAATATTTCACACTTAAATATGAAGTACATTTCCATTTTCTATTTTGATTCCACTCCCATCTCAGTGGGTCCTGCCACTTTATACTCTGTGTCCAAGTACATTTGATACTAGCCAATCTAGAGTATTATCTATGGTATGTAGCCTTGGAAATAGCTTATTTAGCTAATTTTGGTGATTTTCAGAGGTGAATAGTGAATGAGATTGAGCTACAATGAATCTGATTTATAAAATGGCAGTGCCAAACGTCTGCGACACAGGCACGGCCACAGACAAAGACAATTTCACTATGGGAGTCGAGCCATATAGATTATTCCCACGCAAATGTTATACATCAAATGCCCTAGCTGTCATTACATGTACAGTAACTGAATCCATTCCTTAGCGTCCTCTCCCACTGACCGTTAGTTATCAGAGTAGGGTGAAGTTGCCCCTAGACGCTGATCTTGGGTCAGTTTAGCATTTTCCCCACTAGGATTGGGGGAGGGGAAGCTGATCCTAGATCTGTACCTAGGGGAAACTTCACCCTTACATGTATGTCTACTCAACATCCAACTACAGATCAATGTAATGACTTGGTCCACTGATGATCAGAAAGCACAGAGCCAGTGAAAATAATTGCTAGGGAAAGGCACAGAGAGACTGACCTAATGAGAAAGAGAATCTGTTTCGACAATCAGCTCCACAGCAGCCACCTAATTGGCTGTTCTTTCCACAGCAGCCCTCTGATTGGCTGTTCTTTCCACAGCAGCGTCCTGACTGGCTGTGGAGCTGTGGGACTATGTGGGCGCTGTTTTCTCTGTGTTACGGACTGACTGGTTTCTGTTCTCTCTGTGACTGACTGACTGTTTATATGTCTTGTCCGTAGGGAGCTGCGGGAGAAGATCCAGCCAGAGATCATGGAGCTGATCAAACAACAGAGGCTCAACCGTCTGTGTGACGGAACCTGTTTCAGGAAGATCAGCAGCCGCCGGAGGCAAGGTGGGGGTAACACATACATGCACACACACTAATTACTTGGACTGCCTCTTCAGTCACTATTTGCCTTTGTGGTCAGTAATGGCCCTGGCGCTGTGAATCCAGAAAACACACACGTACACACGCACAAATACAGGTGTGCCAAACCAAACATAAAGAACACCTTCCTAATTGAGTTGCACCTCCCCATACTCCCTTTTACCCTCAGAACAGCCTCAATTCGTCGGGGCATGGACTCTACAAGGTGTCAAAAGCGTTCCACAGGGATGCTGGCCCATGTTGACTCCAATGCTTCCCACAGTTGAGTCAAGTTGGCTGGATGTCCTTTGGGTGGTGGACCATTCTTGATACACACTGGAAATTGTTGAGGTGAAAAACCCAGTAGCATTGCAGTTATTGACACACTCAAACCGGTGCACCAGGCACCTACTACCATACCCCGTTCAAAGGCACTGAAATCTTTTGTCTTGACCCATTCACCTTCTGAATGGCACACATGCACAATCCATGTCTCAAAGCTTAAAAATTAAGCTTTTGTCTCCTCCCCTTCATCTACACTGATTTGAAGTGGATTTAACAAGTGACATCAATAAGGGATCATAGCTTTCACCTGGATTCACCTGGTCAGTCTATGTCAAGGAAAGAGCAGGTGTCCTTAATGTTTTGTATAGTCAGTGTATAACACAGTGTCAGGAACTTACTAAGACAGCCTACTGCTTCCAAAAGCAGCTAATATCTGAGCTGTGTGGCTCTTGCCTTTTTGTCTGGAACGGTTTCTGTCCCCAGCTCTACAGTACCACTGAGCCTCATTGCTCTAAAGTGCATGAATCGATTTTAGTAATGGAGGAACGGCCTAATTACATTCCCGGCCGGGCTTCTAAAGCTCTTCCCCGGTCATCTCAGAGTTCTGGAATGGACATGAGGTTGGTTAGCGTGACTCTTCAGAGCCTTTGGACCCAGATAGAACCAGTTCCTTCAGTGCTTCGGATGTATGAGGGAATTGTGGGCGTTTTATCTGTCAGTGACTCCTCTTTTGTCTTAGGAATTTGTTCACGTCGTGTGTCCCAGGTCCCATTACATTCTACATAGCTTTTATTAACAGTAAAATAAAAATCCCTCCTTTCAGTAGAAGCTTAGGTTATGGCTGTGTTCCAAAATGGCACCCTATTCCCTATATAGTACACTACTTTTGACCAGAGCCCTATGGGTCCTGGTCAAAATAAGTGCACTTTAAGGGAATAGGGTGCCATTTGGGACACAGAATATGTCTCCCTGTCCTTGATTTAACTGTGGCGGTGGAATGGAAGCCTGTTCATCCTTTCCCTGTAAATGACTGTGGAGCTAGACGACAGATAAAGCTTTTACACTTCAGAGTGGAGTATTTGGGGGAGCATTGAGCCTAATATCCTTTTTCACACTGACTGACTGGCTAGCGTGTAGGCCTGGGCACGGCAAGGAGAGAGGAGAGGAGAGGAGAGAGGAGAGGAGAGAGGAGAGGAGAGGGGAGAGGGAGAGGGGAGAGAGGAGAGGGGAGAGGGGAGAGAGGGAGAGGGGAGAGAGGAGAGGAGAGCACAGCACAGCACAGCACAGCACAGCACAGCACAGGGGGAGGCCTTATTAGTTAGCTATAATGTTGCGCTTTTCACAGCCGGAGAGGATTAAATCTCCCCACCCAAGACCAGACTCCATCTCTCTCTGTCCTCCTCAGTCTCTCCCCTAAACTGACATAAACAGCTTCTGTCTCTGTCTCTCGCTCTCTCTCACGCACACAAACACACACACACACACGCTGTGGTCCCAGCCCAGGGCCTATAGGCTGTTGGCTGTCTGACACCACACTGTAGAGTACCTGAGTGAGCACAACTGAATAATTATTATTGCCTCAATATCCTCCCATCTGAAGACACACCCACACCTCCACCCGGCACTTTCCAAGTGCTTCATCCCTAAACGACTCCTCTCAAATCATATTTACACATACAATAATCATATACAAATGGAGGCTTGAGTCTCCCTTCCATCGCTAAGTGTGAGGCCGGAACAGTATTTAGGGAATCTCTAAAAGCTGAGTACCTACAGTGCCTTCAGAAAGTATTCACACCCCTTGACTTTTTCCACATTTTGTTGTGTTACAGCTTGAATTTAAAATTGATTAAATTGAGATTTTGTGTCACTGGCCTACACACATTATGTTTTTATAATTTTTTTCAAATGTATTAAAATGAAAGCTGAAATGTCTTGAGTCAATACGTATTCAACCCCTTTGTTATGGCAAGTGCTTAACAAGTCACATAATAAGTTGCATGGACTCACTCTGTGTGCAATAATAGTGTTTAACATAATTTTTTTATGACTATCACATCTCTGTACCCCACACATACAACTATCTGTAGGGTCCCTCTGTCGAGCAGTTTCAAACACAGATTCAACCACAAAGACCAGGGAGGTTTTCCAATGCTTCCTAAGGGCACATATTGGTAGATAGTTCAAATAAAAAAAGCAGACATTGAATATCCCTTTGAGCATGGTGAAGTTATTAATTACACTTTGGATGGTGTCCCATAACCGGCCGTGACCGGGAGTCCCATAGAGCGGCGCACAATTGGCCCAGCATCGTCCGGGTTAGGGGAGGGTTTGGCCGGGTAGGGCTTTACTTGGCTCATCGCGCTCTAGCGACTCCTTGTGGCGGGCCGGGCGCCTGCAGGCGGACTTCGGTCATCAGTTAAACAGTGTTTCCTCCTAACACATTGGTGCAGCTGGCTTCCGGGTTAAGCGAGCGGGTGTTAAGAAGCGCGGCTTGGCGTGTCATGTTTTGGAGGATGCATGACGCAGTTTGGGGAGTTGCAGCGATGAGACAAGATCGTAATCACGAAATTGGGGAGAAAAAGGGTATACAAAAATGTGCAATAAAGCACTAAAGTAAAACTGCAAGAAATGTGGCAAAGAAATTAACTTTATGTCCTGAATACAAAGCGTTATGTTTGGGGCAAATCCAACACAACACATTGCTGAGTACAACACTTCATATTTTCAAGCATGGTGGTGGATGCATCATGCTATGGGTATGCTTGTCATCGGCAAGGACTAGGGAGTTTTTTAGGATATAAATAAATAGAATGGAGCTAAGCACAGGCAAAATCCTAGAGGAAAACCTGGTTGTCTGCTTTCCAACAAACACTGGGAGACAAATTCAGGTTTCAGCAGGTAATAACCTAAAGCACAAGGCCAAATATACACTGGGGTTGCTTACCAAGACGACATTGAATGTTCCTCAGTGGCCTAGTTACAGTTTTGACTTAATTTGGCATGAAAATCTTTGGCAAGACTTGAAAATGACTGTCTAGCAATGACCAACAACCCACTTGACAGAGCTTAAAGAATTTTTAAAAGAATAATGTACAAATATTGTACAATCCAGGTGTGCAAAGCTCTTAGAGACTTACCAAGAAAAACTCACCACTGTAATCGCTGCCAAAGGTGATTCTAACATGTATTGACTCGGGGGTGTGAATACTTAAGTAAATTATATATTTCTGTATTTCATTTTCAATAGATTTGCAAAAGTTTCTAAAAACATGTTTTCACTTTGTCATTATGGGGTATTGTGTGTGTGTATATGGGTGAGGGGAAAAAACCTATTTCATCCATTTTGAATTCAGGCTGTAACACAACAAAATGTGGAATAAGTCAAGGGGTGTGAATACTTTCTGAAGGCACTGTAGCTGACAAACAGCAGTCTGGGGCACCTGTCTTTCAAGTACAGATGCCTACAGTATGTGGCAAATAAAGGTACGTATACAGTGGGGGAAAAAAGTATTTAGTCAGCCACCAATTGTGCAAGTTCTCCCACTTAAAAAGATGAGAGAGGCCTGTAATTTTCATCATAGGTACACGTCAACTATGACAGACAAATTGAGATTTTTTTCTCCAGAAAATCACATTTTAGGATTTTTAATGAATTTATTTGCAAATTATGGTGGAAAATAAGTATTTGGTCAATAACAAAAGTTTCTCAATACTTTGTTATATACCCTTTGTTGGCAATGACACAGGTCAAACGTTTTCTGTAAGTCTTCACAAGGTTTTCACACACTGTTGCTGGTATTTTGGCCCATTCCTCCATGCAGATCTCCTCTAGAGCAGTGATGTTTTGGGGCTGTCGCTGGGCAACACGGACTTTCAACTCCCTCCAAAGATTTTCTATGGGGTTGAGATCTGGAGACTGGCTAGGCCACTCCAGGATCTTGAAATGCTTCTTACGAAGCCACTCCTTCGTTGCCCGGGCGGTGTGTTTGGGATCATTGTCATGCTGAAAGACCAGCCACGTTTCATCTTCAATGCCCTTGCTGATGGAAGGAGGTTTTCACTCAAAATCTCACGATACATGGCCCCATTCATTCTTTCCTTTACACGGATCAGTCGTCCTAGTCCCTTTGCAGAAAAAACAGCCCCAAAGCATGATGTTTCCACCCCCATGCTTCACAGTAGGTATGGTGTTCTTTGGATGCAACTCAGCATTCTTTGTCCTCCAAACACGACGAGTTTGAGTTTTTACCAAAAAGTTATATTTTGGTTTCATCTGACCATATGACATTCTCCCAATCCTCTTCTGGATCATCCAAATGCACTCTAGCAAACTTCAGACGGGCCTGGACATGTACTGGCTTAAGCAGGGGGACACGTCTGGCACTGCAGGATTTGAGTCCCTGGCGGCGTAGTGTGTTACTGATGGTAGGCTTTGTTACTTTGGTCCCAGCTCTCTGCAGGTCATTCACTAGGTCCCCCTGTGTGGTTCTGGGATTTTTGCTCACCGTTCTTGTGATCATTTTGACCCCACGGGGTGAGATCTTGCGTGGAGCCCCAGATCGAGGGAGATTATCAGTGGTCTTGTATGTCTTCCATTTCCTAATAATTGCTCCCACAGTTGATTTCTTCAAACCAAACTGCTTACCTAGTGCAGATTCAGTCTTCCCAGCCTGGTGCAGGTCTACAATTTTGTTTCTGGTGTCCTTTGACAGCTCTTTGGTCTTGGTGGAGTTTGGAGTGTGACTGTTTGAGGTTGTGGACAGGTGTCTTTTATACTGATAACAAGTTCAAACAGGTGCCATTAATACAGGTAACGAGTGGAGGACAGAGGAGCCTCTTAAAGAAGAAGTTACAGGTCTGTGAGAGCCAGAAATCTCGCTTGTTTGTAGGTGACCAAATACTTATTTTCCACCATAATTTGCAAATAAATTCATTAAAAATCCTACAATGTGATTTTCTGGAGTTTTTTTCTCAATTTGTCTGTCATAGTTGACGTGTACCTATGATGAAAATTACAGGCCTCTCTCATCTTTTTAAGTGGGAGAACTTGCACAATTGGTGGCTGACTAAATACTTTTTTCCCCCACTGTATATGTCTACATAAAAATAATTACAAGAAATATGGATACAAGTGCCATTATGGGCTCCCAAGTGGAGCAGTGGTCTAAGGCACTGCATCTCAGTGCTTGAGGCGTCACTACAGACCCCCTGGTTCGATTCCAGGCTGTATCACAACCGGCCGTGATTGGGAGTCCCATAGGGCGGCGCACAATTGGCCCAGCGTCGTCCGGGTTTGGCCGGTGTAGGCCGTCATTGTAAATAAGAATTTGTTCTTAACTGACTTGCCTAGTTAAATAAAGGTAAAATAAAAAATAAAATAAAAAATGTTGTATGCATGCATCACGTGTACCAAAAGTGCATCCAAAAACATCAAACAAATATTTTCTTAGTCAATTATGTAGATATGAAATAAATGATGAATTGGAGATGAGCTTCAGATGGCTGTGTAGTATCTCCAACAGCTGAGGAACAGAAACAACAACATCCCATAAGATAAGACAATCTGAGCAGCATTCTATCTGGAGGCTAGATATCTCCAGTCTAAATCCTCTCGCTCTCTCTCCTCCCTCACTCTCTCTCTGCACTCCCTAAGCAGTCAGTCTCTCTTCTCACACCACACTAGGCACGACACAGCCACTCCCCACAGACCAGCGCCAGCCTCCCTGCTGCCAAATGTCTATTCTCAGCAATTAGGATTTGGACTGTGTCGCCAATGCGTGCGCCAACCAACCCTCCCCAGTCCCCAGCCTAGTTTTGCTCTTCCAGGGACGTGCATAATGGGTAGAGAATAAAGTGCCAGGCCTTGCTCTACGGGAGCCCTGCCCACAGTGCCCAGGCATGCCAGTCTGTGTGCCAGACGGACCCAACTGCCCAGCGGGCGATAGCACCCCGGTGCTATCAGTTACGCTAGCCACCTCAGACACATGAGAACATCACACACCACAGCCCATGAGAACATCACACAACACAGCCCATGAGAACATCACACACCATAGCTCATGAGAACATCACACACCACAGCCCATGAGAACATCACACACCACAGCCCATGATAACATCACACACATCAATCAGTCAATCAGTCAAATGTATTTATAAAGACCTTTTTACATCAGCAGATGTCACAAAGTGCTATACAGAAACCCAGCCTAAAACCCCAAACAGCAAGCAATGCAGATGTAGAAGCACGGTGGCTAGGAAACACTCCCTAGGAAGAAACCTAGAGAGGAACCAGGCTCTGAGGAGTGGCCAGTCCTCTTCTGGCTGTGCTGGGTGGAGATTATAAGAGTACATGGCCATTAAGGCCAGATTGTTCTTCAAGATGTTCAAATGTTCATAGATGACCAGCAGGGTTGTAGAGGGTGCAACAGGTCAGTACCTCAGGAGTAAATGTCAGTTGGCTTTTCATAGCCGAGCATTTAGAGGTCAAGACAGCAGGTGCGGTAGAGAGAGAGAGAGAACACAGCACGTCTGGGACAAGGTAGCACGTCCAGTGAACAGGTCAGGGTTCCCTAGCTGCAGGCAGAACAGTTGAAACTGGAGCAGCAGCACGACCAGGTGGACTGGGGACAGCCTGGAGACATCAGGTCAGTTAGTCCTGAGGCATGGTCCTAGGCCTCAGGTCCTCCGGGAGGGGAGGGAGAGAGGGAGAGAATTAGAGGGAGCATACTTACATTTACACAGGACACCAGATAAGACAGGAGAAATACACCAGATAGGACAGACTGACCCTAGCCCCCCGGCATATAGACTATTGCAGCATAGATACTGGAGGCTGAGGGTCGGGGGACACTGTGGCCCCGTCTGACGATACCCCCGGACAGGGCCAACCAGGCAGGATATAACCCCACCCACTTTGCCAAAGCACAGCCCCCACACCACTAGAGGGATACCAACAGACCACCAACTTACTACCCTGAGACAAGGCTGAGTATAGCCCACGAAGATCTACTCCACCGCACGAGCCCGAGGGGGCGCAAAACCATACAGGAAGATCACGTCTGTGACTCAACCCACTCAAGTGATGCACCCCTCCTAGGGACGGCATGGAAGAGCACTACTAAGCCAATGACTCAGCCCCTGTAATAGGGTCAGAGGCAGAGAATCCCAGCTCATGATAACATCATACAATAGAGCCCATGATAACATCACACACCACAGACCCATAGTGGTACACAGTGAGAACATTTTCCAGGAGACCATCATCAGACAGGCCAGAAAGGTCATATCAGACCCCACACAGCACTGAACACAGAGTTCCAGATGATGCCATCAGGAAGGCGTTATAGGGTGCCTGGATGCAGGCTGAACAGATATAAACATTCTTTTGTCCCCCTGTCAATAAAACTGCTAAACAGCAGGGGAGACGGAGGGAGACGGCAATAACGGACTGGAGCCTGGCCTGTAGGCCTTCATCATGTGGAACTGCCACCTAGTCACAGCCTGGCCTGGCATGAATTTCTCAACTTTTTGTGTGGGCTGGGAGGGGGGTGTATGATAGGCTGTTGTTCTATGTGTTTGTGTATTTATGTGGAAGCAGTATCACACAAATGTCCCCTCTGGGACAATAAAGTATATCATATATCACACCTGAATCAGGTGCCACTAACTGTCTGTGTCTGACTGTCCATATGGGATAGTGTTAGGGTTGTTGTGTTTGGTGTTGCTGCTTTGGGTGGTTCTGGTCAATACAGTTCATACAGCATCTAGGTTTATTAGTGTCTGTTTCACAGGTTTGTTGGTCTTCTATGCTGGTCCTATCCTCCCTCATCATACACTGATTTGCTATTTTTATCTGTCGATCTTGACATGAACCCTAGTTCTCTCTCTCTCCATCTTTCTCTCTCTCTCCCCCTCTCCCACTCTATCTTTCTCTCTCCCACTTTCTCTCCCCGCTCCTCTATCTTTCTCTCTCTCCCCCTCTTCCACTCTCTTTCTCTCTCTCTCCCCCTCTCTAACTCTCTCTACCCCCCCCTATCTTTCTCCCCCCCCCCCCTCTATCTTTCTCTCCCACTCTCTCCCCCCCCCCCCCCCCCCCCCCCCCTCTATCTTTCTCTCTCTCTCCATAGATAAGTTCTGGTACTGTCGACTGTCTCCGAACCATAAAGTCCTGCACTATGGAGATCTGGAGGAGAGCCCTCAGGGAGAGGTGCCCAATGACTCTCTACAGGAAAAATGTGAGTAGTAGCAACACAAGTACTGCTCTGGGTCAAACAAACTGACTGTCAGTTTTCTTTTTTTTTAAGCCAAGTGCAACTTGCAAAATAATAGTTTACTGCCAGGGTGCCTGACGAAGATGGTTGTTACTGACGTTGTTAGTAGTTCATGTAGCATGTCAACAGAATAGTAGTTGACACTAAATCTAACGGATGATTATGACAGGATGTTATTCATGATGTTGACGTTCCTCTCTTCCTCCTCCTCCTCCTCCTCCTCTTCCTCCTCCTGTAGTGCCTGTGGCCGATATCAAAGCGGTGGTCACTGGTAAGGACTGCCCTCACATGAAGGAGAAGGGAGCTTTGAAGCAGAACAAGGTGAGTGTGCGTACAGTAGCTGTCTGTGTCTTATGTAACAGTATCTGTCTGTGTATGTGTCTCTTTGATAACAGTATCTGTCTGTGTTTCTGTGTCTTATATAACAGTATCTGTCTGTGTTTCTGTGTCTTATATAACAGTATCTGTCTGTTTCTGTGTCTTATATAACAGTATCTGTCTGTGAATGTGTGCCTTATATAACAGTACAGTATTTGTCTGTGTATCTGTGTCTTATATAACAGTATCTGTCAGTGTATCTGTGTCTTATATAACAGGATCTGTGTTTCTGTGTCTTATATAACAGTATCTGTCAGTGTATCTGTGTCTTATATAACAGGATCTGTGTTTCTGTGTCTTATATAACAGTATCTGTCTGTGTATCTGTGTCTTATATAACAGGATCTGTGTTTCTGTGTCTAATATAACAGTATATGTCTGTGTATATGTGTCCTATATAACAGTACAGTATACAGTGCTATGAAAAAGTATTTGCCCCCTTTCTAAACTTTTAGGTATTTTTGATACTGAATGTTATCAGATCTTCAACCAAAACGTAATATTAGATAAAGGGAACCTGAGTGAACAAATAACACAACAATTACATACTTATTTCATTTATATCATAAACAAAGTTATGCAACACCCAATTGCCCCCTTACACTCAAAAACTGGTTGTGCCACCTTTAGCTGCAATTACTCCAACCAAACGCAACTTGTAGTTGTTGATCAGTCTCTTACGTCGCTGTGGAGGAATTTTGGCCCACTCTTGCATGCAGAACTGCTTTAACACAGCGACATTTATGGTTTTTCAAGCATGAACTGCTCGTTTCCATTCCTGCCATAACATTTCAATTGGGATTAGGTCTGGACTTTGACTAGGCCATTCAGTACATCACTTGGGCCAAGCATCCTGCCATCCAGGACCTCTACACCAGGCGGTGTCAGAGGAAGGCCCTAAAAATTGTCAAAGACTCCAGCCACCCTAGCCATAGACTGTTCTCTCTAGCTACCACACTGCAAGCGGTACCGGAGCGCCAAGTCTAGATCCAAAAGGCTTCTTAACAGCTTCTACCCCCAAGCCATAAAAATCCTGAACAGCTAGTCAAATGGCCACCCAGACTATTTGCATTGTTCCCCCCCCTCCATCTTTTACGCTGCTGCCACTCTCTGTTTATTATCTATGCATAGTCACTTTAACTCTACATACAGTATCTCACAAACGTGAGTACACCCCTCACATTTTTGTAAATATTTGAGTATATCTTTTCATGTGACAACACTGAAGAAATGACACTTTGCTACAATGTAAAGTAGTGAATGTACAGCTTGTATAATAGTGTAAATTTGCTGTCCCCTCAAAATAACTCAACACACAGCCATTAATGTCTAAACCGCTGGCAACAAAAATGTGTACACCCCTAAGTGAAAATGTCCAAATTGGGCCCAATTAGCCATTTTCACTCCCCGGTGTCATGTGACTCGTTAGTGTTACAAGGTCTCAGGTGTGAATGGGGAGCAGGTGTGTTAAATTTGGTGTCATCGCTCTCACACTCCCTCTGTAGCTCAGCTGGTAGAACACGGCGCTTGTAACGCAGAAGGTAGTGGGTTCGATCGCCGGGACCACCCATACACACAAAAAAATATATGCACGCATGACTGTAAGTCGCTTTGGATAAAAGCGTCTGCTAAATGGCATATTATTATTATTATTATTATACTGGTCACTGGAAGTTCAACATGGCACCTCATGGAAAATAACTCCCTGAGGATCTGAAAAAAAAGAATTGTTGCTCTACATAAAGATGGCCTGGGCTATAAGAAGATTGCCAAGACCCTGAAACTGAGCTGCAGCACGGTGGCCAAGACCATACAACGGTTTAACAGGACAGGTTCCACTCAGAACAGGCCTCGCCATGGTCGACCAAAGAAGTTGAGTGAACGTGCTCAGCATCATATCCAGAGGTTGTCTTTGGGAAATAGACGTATGAGTGCTGCCAGCATTGCTGCAGCGGTTGAAGGGGTGGGGGGGGTCAGCCTGTCAGTGCTCAGACCATACGCCGCACACTGCATCAAATTGGTCTGCATGGCTGTCGTCCCAGAAGGAAGCCTCTTCTAAAGATGATGCACAAGAAAGCCCGCAAACAGTTTGCTGAAGACAAGCAGACTAAGGACATGGATTACTGGAACCATGTCCTGTGGTCTGATGAGACCAAGATAAACTTGGTGAGGAGTACAAAGACAAGTGTGTCTTGCCTACAGTCAAACATGGTGGTGGGAGTGTCATGGTCTGGGGCTGCATGAGTGCTGCCGGCACTGGGGAGCTACAGTTCATTGAGGGAACCATGAATGCCAACATGTACTGTGACATACTGAAGCAGAGCATGATCCCCTCCCTTCGGAGACTGGGCCGCAGGGCAGTATTCCAACATGATAACGACCCCAAACACACCTCCAAGACGACCACTGCCTTGCTAAAGAAGCTGAGGGTAAAGGTGATGGACTGGCCAAGCATGTCTCCAGACCTAAACCGTATTGAGCATCTGTGGGGCATCCTCAAACGGAAGGTGGAGGAGTGCAAGGTCTCTAACATCCACCAGCTCCGTGATTTTGTCATGGAGGAGTGGAAGAGGACTCCAGTGGCAACCTGTGAAGCTCTGGTGAACTCCATGCCCAAGAGGGTTAAGGCAGTGCTGGAAAATGATGGTGGCCACACAAAATATTGACACTTTGGGCCCAATTTGGACATTTTCACTTAGGGGTGCACTCACTTTTGTTGCCAGCGATTTAGACATTAATGGCTGTGTGTTGTGTTATTTTGAGGGGACAGCAAATTTACACTGTTATACAAGATGTACACTCACTACATTACATTGTAGCAAAGTGTCATTTCTTCAGTGTTGTCACATGAAAAGATATACTCAAATATTTACAAAAATGTGAGGGGTGTACTCACTTTTGTGAGATACTGTAGATGTACATATTACCTCGACTCACCTGTACTCCCGCACATTGACTCTACCGGTACCCCCTGTATATAGCCTTGCTACTGTTATTTTACTGCTGCTCTTTAATTATTTGTTTTTATATTTTACTTATCTATTTTTTACACACTTATTTTTCTTAAAACTGCATTGTTGGTTAAGGGCTTGTAAGTAAGCATTTCACTGTAAGGTCTACACCGGTTGTATTCGGCGCATGTAACAAATCCGATTTGATTTGATCTTCTATGTATAGAAGGTGAACTTGTGTTTAGTCCTGCCAGCCTGTGTGCTGGTACGTAGGCCCCAGCCTCTGCAGGTCCTGCCTCGGTAGTGACTAGAAACCAATACATTCTGCTGACACTGACAGATTATGTCCTGTAAATATAGCCTTGAAGACAAAGGAGCACCGCTCCTCCCTCGCCTGGACCTTTATTACTCTGTCGATAAATCTGGTGTCTGAAAGAATGGGCCTACAGGTCTGTGGGCTGGCTGGCTGGATGGATGGCTGGCCCTTGTTTGGGCTGTTTGAATGGGAACACGAGCGGAGCAGCATTCATTACTCAAGCTGTAAGACAGAAAAAGTAACCTCTCTGGTCCCGGGCAGCGCAGCCATAGACCTAGGATTCGTCTCTAATGGTACCCTATTCCCTATGGGCCTTTGTCAAAGGTAGTGTACTATATAGGTCATAGGGTTCATACTGTAGGTGTCCACTATCTATGTGGTTGCGTGCCATTTGCTACAGAATTTCTTTAGCAGTTCTGCGGCATTTGAGGACAAGCGAGAGACATCTGTTTCAAAGGAGCCGTAACAGATTTGAACAAATAGACATCAGCTCTCCTTCAGTGTTCTCTGTGTGGAATTCTCTCAGGGGTCCCTGTGCATTCCCCCTCTGAGTGACTCATTGTTTGCGTACCAAATGGCACCCTATTCCCTGTGTACTGCTGACCAGTGTGGAGAACACAATAAACTGATCGAAAGTCAGCTTTTGTGTGTTTTCCCTCTAAGGATTAAGCTAGACTTTAGGGGCAGCTTTTCTCCTGTGTTGGATAACCGTACGTCTCAAAGTGCTTTTCCGTCCCAGTTTGTCCCCTAGCTGTCCCCCTGCTTAGTGTGTCCGTCCCCTGTCCCCTGGCACCCAGCATGTGGCGCCGGTACACACATGGCAGCCAAACCATCTGGTGTTGGAGTGGCTGGGGAGAGAACGTGTTAAAGAGGCACAGTGGGAGGAACGCACACGCTGGAGAGGAGAGGAGCTCATTAGCATGTTGGTGACAGTGCTACATTTTAACTCCCTCTGTCTCTCTCTCTTCTCCTTCTCTCCCTTCCCCTCCTCTCTTTCTCCCCGCTCTCTCTCCCTCCTTATCGCCCTCTATCACTCTGTCCCTCCCCCTTTCTCTCCCTCCCCCTCTCTCTCTCGCCCCCTCTCTCGCTACAGGAGGTTCTGGAGCTGGCCTTCTCCGTCCTCTACGAGTCAGACGAGTATTTAAACTTCATCGCTCCGGACAAGCATGAGGTAAGCACTGAGCAGTTGGCACAGTCACCCAGCCAATGACAGGTTTCAGAGATGGAGTGAGAGGAAGTCAATGGAGGTCGTCCACTCTCAAGCACGACGTGGGAGACTTTATGTTAATACACTGCTGTAAAGGTTGTATGTGTGTTTGTGTGTACTCATCCTCTCCTGTCTCTCCTCAGTACTGTGTGTGGACGGACGGTCTGAACGCCCTCCTGGGAAAAGAGATGACCAGTGACTTCACCAAGTCAGACATGGACACCCTGCTCTCCATGGAGATGAAGCTCCGCCTCCTCGACTTGGAGAACATCCAGATTCCAGAGGCCCCTCCCCCAATTCCCAAGGAGCCTAGCAACTATGACTTTGTTTATGATTGCAACTAACTAACCAACCAATCAAAATCCCCTAGCTACTGTACTGGAACAACCAACTCTCTCTTTCCTAAAACGGCAACTGGAGAAAATAAAAATAAACTAATGACGATGAAAATTATGAACGACAGAAAAGGGATTCTATTGAACAAGTTTCCTTCCTTCTTGCTAAACTTCCTTTTTGAATTAAAGGGCGCAATTTAATAGGTTTGCAGCACTTAATGACTCTTTGCGTCACTAGGTGGCCCACTGACTGAACCATCACGTCACCATGGAGGCCAAACCAGGAAGCATCCATATGGGTCCTTTGGGTCCTAAACCAGAGATGTTCTTCTAACATTCTCAACGTTCTCTAAACGTTGTTGTTTGGTCATCACTCTCCAAGATGTCTTCACAGTGTTCTTCTCGTCTCAACCCTGCTCACTCTTCACTCCTTATTTACTGAAGCATCTGTCATTTGCTTGGGGTTTGTTGATAAACGCTTGGTTGACCTTTTTCGTTTTGTTCATTTTCTAAAGGCTGTTGGATGAGAGGAGGTGGGGCGTTTTATAAAAATTTAAAGAAGTGTTGGGGACATTAGTCTTTAGCTCTCCAACGTTCTGTGTGCATCCAAAATGGCACCGTATTCCCGATATAGTGCACTACTTTTAGTGCACTATATAGGGAATAAAGTAGTGCACTATATAGGGAATAGGGTGCCATTTCAGACGCAGACTCGGTCTCCCATTCACACTTACGTGGCAGCTAATGTCTCTGAGAGGAAGAAAAGATCAAGTGTATTTAAGATGATGAAGTGTGTATTAACACTTTCCTCCCAGGTATCGTACTCCATACTTCACATACTGTGTAGACTGTTACAATAAGTGTGTTGTTCTAAAACCTGGCACTGTAATACAATACGGGAAACTGCCTCTGAAGTTCCTGAAGTCTTCTATCCCTATATCACGGCTGCTTTGAGCATGCTTTATACTCACACACTGGCTTAGCCCAAACAAACACACACAACTGTAATACATGCTTGCTCAGACATACACATCTCTCTTTCCTCCAACTTGATACCGTTCGACCATGCTCCATTACGACTGCTGTAACATTTCAAAGCAATATTGAGCAACAAAAAAAAACTTTGTTAAGCTGATGGTGTAATTTTGTGATATTTGTGATGCTGCCAAGTAGTCAGTATTGGGGATGTTTGCGTTTTTAGTAAAGGGAAGTTGTTCTTTGTTTGTTTTCAAGAACTATGTGGCCGTCAATTTGGAGGTTCATGTAAATGTATTTAAAAGTGAATCATAAGTCATTTCTAATATGATTGATTATTTTCCCTATTTAATACCTTCAGATGTTCGGCTCTAGGTTTGAAAAGCCCCTCAACCTGCTGTTTACATTAAAGATTTAAGGAAACTGACCTCTTGTTGCATTTTCCATGTCTTTCGATCTACACTGAAGAAAAATATAAACACAAGATGCTACAATTTCTAAGATTTTACTGAGTTATAATTCATATAAGGAAATCAGTCAATTGAAATAAATTAATTAGGCCCTAATCTATGGATTTCATATGACTGGGAATACAGATATGCATCTGTTGGTCACAGATACCTTTAAAAACAAAGTAGGGGTGTGGATCAGAAAACCAGTCAGTATCTGGTGTGACCACCATTTTCCTCATCCAGCGTGACACATCTTCTTCACATAGAGTTGATCGGGCTGTTGATTGTGGCCTGTGGAAGGAAGTCCCTATCCTCTTCAATGGCTGTGCAAAGTTGCTGGATATTGGCGGGAACTGGAACACGCTGTCGTACAGGTAAATCCAGAGCATCCCAAACATGCTCAATGGGTGACATGTCTGGTGAGTATGCAGGCCATGCAAGAACTAGGACATTTTCAGCTTCCAGGAATTGTGTACAGATCCTTGCGCCATGGGGCTGTGCATTTTAATGCTGAAACGTGAGGTGATGGCAGCGGATGAATGGCACGACAATGGGCCTCAGGATCTCGTCACAGTATCTCTGTGCATTCCAATTGCCATCGATAAAGTGCAATTGTGTTCATTATCCGTAGCTTATGCCTGCCCGTACCATAACCCCACTGCCACCATGGGGCACTCTTTTCACAACGTTGACATCACCAAACCGCTCCACCCACACGATACCGTCCATCTGCCAGGTACAGTTGAAACTGGGATTCATCCATGAAGAGCACACTTCTCCAGCGTACCAGTGGCCATCGAAGGTGAGCATTTGCCCACTGAAGTCGGTTATGACGCCGAACTGTAGTCAGGTCAAGACCCTGTTGAGGACGACGAGCATGCAGATGAGCTTCCCTGAGACGGTTTCTGACAATTTGTGTAGAAATTCTTCAGTTGTGCAAACCCACAGTTTCATCAGCTGTCCGGGTGGCTCGTCTCAGACCATCCCGCAGGTGAAGAAGCCAGATGTGGAGGTCCTGGGCTGCCGTGGTTACATGTGGTCTGCGGTTGTGAGGCCGGTTAGACGTACTGCCAAATTCTCTAAAACAACATTGGAGGTGGCTTATGGTAGAGAAATTAACATTAAATTCTCTGGCAACAGCTCTGGTGAACATTCCTGCAGTCAGCATACCAATTGCACACTCCCTCAAATCTTGAGACATCTGTGGCATTGTGTTGTGTGACTGCACATTTTAGTGGCCTTTTATTGTCCCCAGTACAAGGGGCACATGTGTAATGATCATGCTGTTTAATCAGCTTCTTGATATGCCACACCTGTCAGGTGGATGGATTATCTTGGCAAAGGAGAAATGCTCAAAAACTGAGATTTTTTTTAAATTGTGCACAAAACTTTAGAGAAATAAACTTTTTGTGCGTATGGAAAATTTCTCAGATCTTTTATTTCAGCACATGGAACGAACCCTTTACATGTTGCATTTATATTTTTGTTCAGTATAGTATGAACTGGTTATAATATATTTGGTCCATGCCACCAAGTCTCTTGTCACACAAGATACCCATACTGTGACATTTATTGTTGATATGGCTTTCTATACAGTCGATTTTGAAGAATTGGTGAGTCTTCTCTATGTACTGTACGTGGCATTCTCTTGGATCAGAGTTCTTCCACAGACGAGAGCGAGATGGAAAGAGAGCATGAGATGAGCGGTGGTGAGGCCCTGGTTTTACATACTCTGCTGTGTTTGGGCATATTTATTTATTATTTACTTCACTTTACACAGGTGACAGCGGTCCCCTCTCCCTCTCCACGCTCAACTCTCCTTCATACACACACTCGCTCCCCTGTGGGGGAATCTCAGGCCATTTACCACTCTGTGGCTCGACCCAATGGAGTCTGTCTGGACAATGCTCCATTCTCTCCATAGACTCCTGAGGGAAGACTGTTCATTTGTTAATGGAAGATGATTTCCCTGGTCATTTTCATATAGTTGGTATTCGTGTCAGCATTCGTCATCTGTCTCTCTCTCGCGCACACACTCTCTCCCTCTCCCCATTCTCTCTCCCTCTCTTTCTCTCCCCCCCCCCCCCCCCCCCCCCCTCTCTCTCTCTCTCTCTCTCTCTCTCTCTCAATCACTCACTCACTCACACTCACACTCTCTCTCTCACACACACACACACACACACACACACATACATACAGAGTTGATATTTAAGCAGCAGGTCACCCTTGAGTACACTCCATTTGTCCCTGTGCTGTGGTGCTGGCCTGATCAGACCTGTTGGGCTGTTAAGTGGATTAGTCACGGTGGCTGATGGCGCTGATGTACCTCTGGTAATGAGTGAATAATAGAGGGACAGAGTACCCTCATCCCTCCACCTCTTCCTCCTGTGCCACCCTCCCTCGTTCTCTCTCTCATTCTCTTGTTTTTTTTTCTCTCTTTCTCTCTCTCTCTGTCTGTCTGTCTGTCTGTCTGTCTGTCTGTCTCTGTGTCTGTCTCTCTCTCTCTCTCTCTCTCTCTCTCGCTCCATGCTTTGCCTCAGGAGCTCAGGCAGGTCATGGCTCTGCCGGGATGTTATTGCTTTTCAGTGAAGTTGCAATAATGGTCTTATAAAACAATGTTTGTTTCACCAAGTGTCAAAGGTTACTAATACACAATAAAATGCATTTAATCCACACCTTACAAATGGCCAGACTTGTCAGAAGGTAAAACTCCCTACTCAGTGTCATAGTCTGAAGTGCAGCAAAAGATGGTTGTTGAAAAACAAATAATTTAGCGATAGAATCAGAAATCTATGACATGCCGAATTAGTACAACACACTTATCCCCAGACACTGAAAGGAGATATTGTGAGTGCACCTTAGCCTCACCTGTGAGTGAAGACTTTGCTCATCTCGTCTGAAGTTGTGAGAGGTCGTGCTGTGTGTGTGAAAGCCGCTAAAGGGCTCGGCACAGCGGGGGGGCAGCTACTCTCCCCTTAAAGCAGGCAACACTAATCACATCTGATTAAGGGTGGCACTGATGTGATGGGAAACACTTTTCTCCATAGCATGCTCACAAACCTCTCTCACTACACCTAGGGTATGTCCCAATTATCTCTCCTTCCTCCTAAAGTGTACACTCATTCATTACATCCCAGAAATGTACAAATATTGAATTGGTGTTGGCAAAGGTGAGAGGGAGTTTTCATTTGCCAGTCATTTCCTTTCAAATCCATGAAGAGAAGTGAACAAGTGCACCCTTCAAGAAAATATGTATTTGATTGGGACACACTCTGACAGGCAGAGAGAGGTGCCCAGGATGGCCAATAACAACCAAACCCTGGAAAACACATTTCTACTGCCTACTGTCATTTCTATTTAAACTACTCTGCCATCCCTTGAGCTTTGTTTTTCAAAGTGTTTTTGTATATATTGTTGTTGTTTCTTTTTTTGGGGGGGGGGTAGATCAGCTTTAATATTGCAGATAGATTGTAACTTCCATCAATGTAATTGTCTGCATCACTTCCAATCCCCCAAATACATATATACAGTGGGGAGAACAAGTATTTGATACACTGCCGATTTTGCAGGTTTTCCTACTTACAAAGCATGTAGAGGTCTGTAATTTTTATCATAGGTACAGTGAGGGAAAAAAGTATTTGATCCCCTGCTAATTTTGTAAGTTTGCCCACTGACAAAGACATGATCAGTCTATAATTTTAATGGATGACGGTCAATCACCCTCGGTCTGGGGCTCCATGCAAGATCTCACCTCGTGGGGCATCAATGATCATGAGGAAGGTGAGGGATCAGCCCAGAACTACACGGCAGGACCTGGTCAATGACCTGAAGAGAGCTGGGACCACAGTCTCAAAGAAAACCATTAGTAACACACTACGCCGTCATGGATTAAAATCCTGCAGCGCATGCAACGTTCCCCTGCTCAAGCCAGCGCATGTCCAGGCCCGTCTGAAGTTTGCCGATGACCATCTGGATGATCCAGAGGAGGAATGGGAGAAGGTCATGTGGTCTGATGAGACAAAAATAGAGCTTTTTGGTCTAAACTCCACTCGCCGTGTTTGGAGGAAGAAGAAGGATGAGTACAACCCCGAGAACACCATCCCAACCGTGAAGCATGGAGGTGGAAACATCATTCTTTGGGGATGCTTTTCTGCAAAGGGGACAGGACGACTGCACCGTATTGAGGGGAGAATGGATGGGGCCATGTATCGCAAGATCTTGGCCAACAACCTCCTTCCCTCAGTAAGAGCATTGAAGATGGG